CTGCTCGAACCCGAAATTGAACGAGGCGACCGTGAAAGACGCAGGCTGCACAGCGCCAGAACCAGGCGTCTGTCCACCTTCCTCCGCAGGCTGAGAAGCACCGCGAGGCGGCGCAGGCTGAGAAGCACCGCGAGGCGGCGACACTTCGGACGAGCCTCGCGGAGCAGAGGCTGCGGATGAACGTTGGACATGGGGGTACGGCCAGGGGAACGCCATTGCAATCAAAACTCAGTGGACTGCAGTGAATGAATGTAGTGGCCAATTGAATGCAGAGGACTGCAGTGTCACTAGCAAGTCCTGAACCAAACACAGCTGTGGCGGAAGGAATATGAAGCGTCTGGCTATTCAAAATGTTGCCCGGCAATGTCCTCCTCCTCCTCCTCCTCCTCCTCCTCGTCCTCCTCCTCCTCTTCCTCCTCCTCCTCCTCCTCCTCCTCCTCCTCCTCCTCCTCCTCCTGGTAGTCCTCCCCCTCCCCTCCTCCTCCTGGTAGCCCAGGAATGGGAGTTTTGGGAACTCGAAGAGCACGAAGTGGCCTACAGTTGGCTCCGGGCATTCAAAATGTGGCCCGGGAATGGAGTTCTGGGAACTCGAAGAGCACGAAGTGGCCTACAGTTGGCTCCGGGCATTCAAAATGTGGCCCGGGAATGGAGTTCTGGGAAATCGAAGAGCACGAAGTGGCCTACAGTTGGCTCCGGCATCCAAAATGTGGCCCGGGAATGGCGTTCTGGGAACTCGAAGAGCACGAAGTGTGTGACTGTTGCATCCGGCCCCCCAGAATGTGGCCCGGGAATGGCGTTCTGGGATGTCGAAGAGCACTTTGTGTGTGACTGTTGCATCCGGCCCCCCAGAATGTGGCCTGGGAATGGAGTTCTGGGAAGGCGAAGAGCACGAAGTGTGTGACTGTTGGTGAAAAACGAGCCCGGCTCATGCCGCCCGGAAACGCCCCAACACCTGCCCGGACCCCCCTGTGGAGTGATCTGTGAGCTCTTTTGAGTCAACTAGAAACCTATCAGTCTTCGCTGTTAGGTAACATACAATTGCAACGCGCTCGGCTCCCACACGGCCACGCGAGGCCCCAAGCCCCTTCCAGGAGGCCACAAGAAGGGCCACAAGGCGCGCAAAATGCTTATGATTTCAAGGACTCTGCACCCAGACGCCCACACGAAGCTCCAAGACTCCTCAACGGCTCCCCAGACGTGCCACGAGGCGCCCAAGAGCCGCCAAGAAGCATTCACGAAGTTCCCCCACGACGCCCCACAAGGCCTCTAAGAACCTCCACGAGTTCTCCGAAGAAGGCCTTTATAATCCTGGGGGGTGGGACCCCCCCCCCGAAATAGGATCCTCCCCAACCGGGACTTCCGGAAACGGGACCCCTCACGAGGATCGCAGCCTCCGAACGCGAAAATTAGCGCTCTCCGTCCAAAGAGGAAGGTGAGAACGAAGCCCATACATAACGTTCGTAGAGCCTGCCTGTCCCAAAGTCGCGTCAGCACGCCTCCCCGCGCCCCCCCTGCCTCATATTTTGCAGTATAAAGCTGCATTCTGGTCAGAATCCTGGGTTCGCACCCTTTTTTAAGAAATTTGGTTGCGAACCCGGGATTCGATAAGTTTCCCTCTGAAGTCCTTTTCTTGCATTCCATTTGCCCCTTTCGTTGCTTCGAACACCAAGTTCTCCCACTCCCCCTCCGCAACCTCTGCACATTCGCAATGCGAGCCCGCGAGGACCCCTCGAAGGGACCGCAGGATACCGCGAGAAGCCAGCCGATCCAAAGCTTCAAGGAACAAGATGCATGGCGCGAAGCGCCTATGCAGCCTTGTATATATGTATATATGTATATATATATATGTATCGGGGTGTTCGTCTTGCCCCTCACTTCTCATAGTTTCCCTTCTTATCCTGGCGGTCGACGATTGATTGTGCCTGCGTGTTTTTTCCCCTCTGGTCAGACTTCTGGGAAACGGGCTGGGGCTCAGGGTTCGAAGGCCGACTGCAGCCAAGTGTGGACGTGTCCGACAGCCCAGCGCCGACTGGACCCGACGGGGCAGGGTCGGCAGATGGTCTCAGAGTCACGCTGCATCTTCGCGGGGCCTCGGTGTGTCCTGTGGCGCCGCCGTCCGCTTCGAACCCGCGCTGAATCCGCGCCGAGCCAACTCGAGCCCGCGTCGAATCCACGCCGAATCCGCGTCGGATCTGCGTCAAGCCCACGGCGGATGCAAAAAAAACGCCAGTTACAACACAAGCAGGGTGACTTACGTAGGGGCTTCACGACTTCTACTGTCCCTCGACTCGCGCTGGAACGTCCACGAGCTGCTCCAGATTTCACTTGACGTGTCCCGATCTATCTGGATGTACCTCGACTTACCTGGCTTGACCCCCGCAGGTCGATCGAAGAAGAATCGGCAAACCCTTCGGGAACGGCCCCACGAAGATGCAACGTGAGCAGAGAAAGAAACAACATCATAGGCACAAAGCTTTCGGAGGTCCGTGCGGATTGCGTTGCTGTTGGCACCTCCAAGCGCCGATCCAAAGAAATCCGCGCGGAGTTCCAGAAAATTACGGCCGGGGCTGGAAAGATAAAGTGCAATATCGATATCCAAAAAGCGCGCTATCCCTGCGAGGCGATCCCCCCGCTGCAGTCAACCCGTATGATAAGAATGCGCGGTAACGAGGCAGGGCCTTGGACGCCCATGCCGAGGCTCTTCGAGCGGGGCTGGGCATCGAAAGTGGTTGAGGATGGACCGAAGATAACCGAAGAGGCAAGGATGCACGAGTACCCTTGGGAAGTCGATGATCCTTGCTGTGCGGGTTGACTGCAAGGCCCCTTCTGTGCGCTCCTTCCCCCCTGCCAGCCTGCCAGGGCCTCTTCGGTGCACGCTGTCCCCATGGTGGGGGATCGCGTGTCGTAAGCGGGCCGGTGCGCGGCGGCGCCACATCGCACGCCGTCCTTCCGAAGCCAACCGCATGCGTACGCACGTGCTCTTCCTCGAGAAGCAGCCGGCGTCGAGGGGCGGAGGCCTCCGACCGCGCGGGCGGAGCGAGAACAGGGCGGGCCTCCGGGCCCCAGCACGCGCGTGGAACCCGCGGCCGGGAGCCCGCGTCAGAGCCAATCGTCCTCGTCGGCGGCGTCCTCCGCCTGCGCGCCCGGCTGGGCTGGAGGGGGGGGATGGGGGACAGGGGGGACTGGCTCAGGGGAGGGGGGACGTCAGGGGGTGCGTGGCCCCGCAGGGAGCTTCAGCGAAGGCCCAAGCAGCAGCGCCCACATGGCGGCGCCGCCTCCACTTCAGCACACACCTTGCACGCTTCGTGGCGCCACACTTAGGGAGCTCCACCGAAGGCCCAAGTGGCAGCGCCCGCACGGCGGCGGCGCCCCCTTTTGGCACACCTTGGCACACTCCGGACGCGCTTCGTAGACCCGTAGGGAGATCCGCCCAAGACCCAAGTGACAGCGCCGGCATGGCGGCGCCCCGCCCGCCGCAGTCACCCATCACACGCTTCGTGGCCCCAAAGGGAGCCCCCCCTGCTTCCCACCTGCCCTGCAGCAATCAACCCACGTATGGCTGAGTCCTTCGTCAGGATACAATACGGGGTCCCTGGAAGTCCTGGCCCGTTTCTCCAGGGCTGGGGTTTCATCCCCAGCCGCTTCTTGGCGGCCCCAGGGCCCAGCGAGGTTCCCCAGGAGCCGAAAAGTAAGAGAAGTCTCTGCTTTGAGCTTCCCATGGCGCTGGAAGCCTGTGGCCCGCCCCTGTGTGGGGGACCAAGGCACCAATACCGCTACTCAACGGACCTCTTCTGGGGTGCATTCTAACCAAAACTTCGAAGACAATCCGGCCCGGGGGGGCGACGAGGGCTCTCGAGGACGCGAACTGTCATTCACTATCCCTGGGCGCGCGGCTGAAGTGAGGTTCTGCAGTGCGCATCGTCGTCGTCGTCGTCGTCGTCGTCGTCGTCGTCGTCGCCGTCGTCGTCGTCGTCGTCGTCGTCGTCGTCGTCGTCGTCGTCGTCGTCGTCGTCGTCGTCGTCGTCGTCGTCGTCGTCGTCGTCGTCGTCGTCGTCGTCGTCGTCGTCGTCGTCGTCGTCGTCGTCGTCGTCGTCGTCGTCGTCGTCGTCGTCGTCGTCGTCGTCGTCGTCGTCGTCGTCGTCGTCGTCGTCGTCGTCGTCGTCGTCGTCGTCTATGTCGTCGTCGTCGTCGTCGTCGTCGTCGTCGTCGTCGTCGTCGTCGTCGTCATCCCCCTAGCGACCCACCCGCGACCTACTTGCGACCCACCCGCGACCCACCCGCGACCCACCCGCGACCCACCCCGCGGCCCACCCGCGACCCACCCGCGACCCACCCGCGACCCCGGACTCGAACCACCCGCGACCCACCCGCGACCCACGCCGCGACCCACCCGCGACCCGGCCCACGACCCACCCGCGACCCACCCGCGACCCACCAGCGAACCACCCACATTGCTTGAACGAAAAATCGGCGCGTCCCCCCGCCGCCCCCTCACGCGTACCCGCGACAGCGGGGTGCATTTTGCGTGTCTTCTCTCACTCTATTGGCGCCCCTGGGCCTGCGCGACGGGGTGGGCCACTTCGCTGGCGCCCGCGGCCCGCTGCTGGGGCGCCGCCGTGCCTGGCGGCTGCCCGCCGAGCCGCGGGCGCTTGGGCGGCGCGGGCCCCTCGGGCTGGGCGGCGCCCGCGGCCGCGTCGGGCCGCGCCGCGCCGGGTGGCGGAGCCGTGCCGCCAGCAGGCGCGACGGCGCCCGCCGCGGCCACGGGGCTCGCCGCGGCCGCCGGGGACCCCGGCGGCGATGGCGCCTCGGGGCCTTCGGCGCCGCTGTCGCCTTCCCCAGGCATACTACGTGTGCTCGCAACACCACGGTTCCTTCCACACCAGTCGTTTCCCTCACTGCGCCACGCGCGAACCGATTGCTGACTCCATTGGCGCCATCGATCGACCCATGGGCGCAGTTGCTGAATACCACGCCATGTGCGATCAGAACTCTTCGGATGTCCTGGGGCCCAGGACGTCCGAAGGGTTGAGGTCTTGTAAATCCAGCGGGCGGTTTCCCTCACGGTCTCGGCCCCCGCGGGGGCCGTCTCCAGGTTCCATCAGGAGCCGATCTGGGGTGTGAAACTGCCCCCGGTGAAGGAGTCTGAAGCTGTGGGGGTGGCGGACTGAAACAATGAGATCGTCGGATATCTGGGTCGCAGCCTTCGCAAGATCAGTCAGCATCGGATCGGGAAATCGGATTCGAATCGGAACGTGAGTCAAATGAGGCCGCATCGGGCACCGGCGCGGAATCGAGACCGGGTCGGCATCAGCTGTGCCAGGATGCACGGCGCCATGCGAGCATCGGGACTCATCGGATCCTCGGAGCTTCGTAGTCTGCCAGAGAGATCGGACCGAGACTGACCCTGCCTTCGCCGCTGCTCAGCCGCAGGCTCACTCTGGAGGACGACTCGGACGAGGAGGACTCGCTGCCGCCGTCCTCGCCCTCGGCGGCCTCGGTCGGCAGGACCGCCCTCTCTGCCCTGGCGGCCTCTGGCGCGGCCCTCAGGACCAAGTGGTAGGCCTCCGCCAGCTCCCTGAAGCGGCGGACCCGCGGTGGCGAGAAGTCGAGCTTCTCCTCGAGCCGACACTTTGTCTTCCCGCTCGCGTAGTAGATAGATTTCAGGGCTGCCCGCGTGAACGCGCGCTCGACCTTGGCCTGGTCCGCTGCCTTCTCCACACCGAGCGCGGCGTAGTGGGCTGGCTGTGGGCCCCCTGCAGGCACCGCCACCGTCGCAACCCTCTGGACGATGTCGGCCTCGCAGCCCGCCAAGACCTCTTTTCTTCTGATGTATTCCTGCCGGTGGTCTCTGGTGACCTTCCTCTGCTCGTACGCCCTCTTCCGAATCTCTCTCTCCTTGGCCAGATCTCTCTCCTTGGCCTCCTTGGCCTGGGCCCTCTTCTGCTCCTTGGTCCGCAGACTCTCTGCGCGGAGCCTGTCCTCGGCTGCACGGCCCACTGTTGGGGCCCGCGAGGCCGAGACCTGCGCTGCGGAGGCGCTGGCGCCCAGAGCCCCAGCCTTGGCTGGCGCGCCCGTGCGACGTTCGAGATGGTCCTGGCCCTTCGCATCGCCTGCGGCGCTGAGATCCTCACGTGGGAGCTCGCCGCCCTCATCGACGCAGGCGGGCGCTGCGGAGGCCCCAGCGCCCGCAGCTCCAGCCTCGGCTGGAGCGCCGGTGCGACGCTCGAGCTGGTCCTGGGCCTTTGCGTCGCCAGGTGCCCCGGCGTCCTCCTGTGGGGGCCGGCCGCTCTTGTCGACGCAGGCCTGCTCCTTGGCGCGCACCCATCCGAGCAGCTCCTCCACGGTCTTCCGACTCTGGCCACCGAGGCGGGCGAATACCTCGGCTGGCATCAGATCCTGCAGCGTGGTGCCGTCTGCGTTCCGCTTGCCGACGCCGACCTGATCCGCACAGCCGCCCTGCCTGGAGTGCGCGGCGCGGAAGCAGAAGCTCTGGCACTTCAAGGTGTGGCCCCCGCTCTTCAGCACCTGGTGGTTCAGACAGACGTCCTCGTACAGCTGCAGGTCTGGCAGGTACTCCACCTGGAGCCTGCGGAGTTCAGGCAGGTTGAGGAACACCACCTTCCAGAGGGACATCTCGTCCATCTTCCAGCCCATCTTCTTGCAAGATGCGGTGCCGTCGTCCCTGAGAAACCCAGCCACCGCAGCCCTCGGCAAGAAAACGTGTCGCTGCACCTCTAGCATAGCCTCGCGGAACATGGGCATGCCCTCTGGAGCTTCGCGCTGCTTCACACGCTGAGGGGTGCGCCTGTGGGGGTCGCCCACGAGGGCCGCCTCGAGGTCCACCAGCCGGTAAAACATGGACAGACTGTCGTCAAACACCCAGATCCACGGTAGCCTCCGCTCTTGCCACTTCCCGCTGCCTTCGGAGCCCAACTTCCCACACCACTGGAATGCCCTGGTGCACACCCGCTGAATCGCCCAGCGAGCGAAGCCAGGTCCCCCGCCGTCCCGCGGCAGCACGAGCATCAAGCCCTGCGGCCATGCCTCGCGGTACTCGGCCTCTTCCGCCGGCTCGACAACCACACAGACGACTGGGAAGCGGCCAGCCGGCTTACCCTCGCGGCCCAGTGGACCGTACACGTGGTCGGCCTCCCAGTTCAGGTTGGACCGCTGGGCACGGCCCTTGGTGGGGATGAAGGTGGGGCAAGGCATGAGCTTGTCGACTGGCGTCTTCTCGTTCACCCGGCTCTCCTCGAATCTCCTGCAGGTGTGCTCCCAGTTCGCGAGCAGCGTAGCTGGCCCCTTCAGAATAGCGCGGAAGGCCTCATGACTCGGCTTCGACGCGCTGTGCGGGAAGAGCGAGTGGTCCGAAAAGACCACCAGCTCGCAGCTGCCGACGGTCTCGTCTACCAACAGGCCAGCCAGCGTGCCAGGTGACTGCGCAGGGGGCGAGCGCATCGCCTCCACGTATGCAGCCTGGGCGTACAGGCCCGCGTTCTCTTCGTACACCCCTGCCTCCAGCTTGGCCTTGTAGGTGCTGCTGGTGTGCCAGCCCATGACGCTGCCATCGACGTTAGCGTAGCGGCAGCTGACGTTCAGGCTCATCAGCTTGCCGACGGCGGACGTATGCGACGGCAGCCTTCCCAACGGCGTGACAGGGCCGTCCCCACCCCAGCGGACGTCCGCCGGCCAGACGATAGACATCAACAACCGGGCTTCCCTCACAGGCAGCATAGGCCGCAGGCTCGCCAGCGCCTCCCGCAAGTCCAGGGCCGCCCCGCCAGGACCAGCGGTGACCTGCAGGCCGGGCGGCACGTCCTCTACCCCAAGGTGCTCCCGCGCCCACAGCTTCACCACGCTCGTGGCCTTGTGCCGCGCGTCCACGTCCGCCTTCCAGACGGGAACCTCGACGCTCTTCCCTGGGAAGGAGGCCTGAATCGCCAGCATCACCACGCTGGGGGTCGGGAGGCTGGGACCCGCCGGGCGCCGCCACTCGACTGCGCCGCCCCGTGCTGCGGCTCGGCTCTGTGGGCCGCCCCCGTTGCCGCCGCCCGCCACGCCTGGCACCTCCCCCGTCGCCGCGCTGGCGCCGCTGCCACCGTCGCCGCGTGACGCAGGGCGACCCGGCGGCCCTGCTCCGCCGGCGTCGCCGGGAGCAGCGCGCGCCTCGGCGCCGCGCGCGGCCGTTGCGGCCGCCTCTCTGGGGCCCCCCGCGGCGAGGCCCAGGGCCGCCGCCGCTCCGCCGCCCGGCGGCGGGTGGTCGTCCCACGAGCTCAGGAGCCAGCCCAGGTCGGCCCTGTCGACGGTTGAGAATCTCAGGAGCGTCGGGTCCCTCTCGTAAGGAGGGTCTGCGTGACGCTCGTTCCACTTCATCTTGCGTAGAAGCCTCCGGCAGCGCTCTTTGCTCTCAACCTCCGACGCGGGCGCATCCTTCTCCAGCTGACGCACCAGGAACTTGGCACATCTCAAGCTCGCCTCCACCTCGGACCAGCTCCTGTCTGCGACCACCGCGCAGTTGAGCACCCACAGTACGAAGAGCGAGCTGTAGACCTCCGCCGACTTCACCCGCGCGCCCGCAGCCGTGCACTGCCGGGCGGCCTGTACAGCCAAGGCCCTGCGGCAGCTGCGCCGCACCGCCGGCAGGTCCCGCAGCTGCCACTGGATCTCGGCGAGATACGTGAGAACCTGCAGGCTTTCTATTCATCCCCCAAGCAATGCTTGCACATCGGGTTTCATGCTTCCGTCCCACTGAAGGATTGGATGGGTCAGCCGAGATTTCGCCAGCTGCCCGCTCGTGCGCGCCAGGTGGGCGCCTCGTGCGCTGGGCGGCCGAAAAGCGTGCACCACATGGCTTTCAACGCATAGCTTGCACCACATAGCTTACACCAGATAACTTATACTGGATAGCTTACACCTCGTGCATAGCTGATACCACATGGCTTGCACCACATCAGTTGCTCCGCCTAGCTCACACCACGTAGCTTGCACCACGTATCCCACACGACCATCGTGCAAACTGTTACTGTTTGGGGTCCACACTGGCGAACATATATCTTTGGTGATCCCACGTGCTGCGTGAAACATGTTCTGCTGCGTGAGAACCTGCACGTCCTCAGGGTGCCACGAGTGGTCCGGCCACGCGTCGAGCACCCTCTCGCACTGCCGCAGGCGGTCGCGCGCCGCCGCCAGGTTCTTGCCCACCCCGTCGATGCTGCGCAAGGCCTCCGCGGCGAACCTCACCGCCTGGAAGCGCCCGATGGCCCAGCCCAGGTCGACTCTCCAGCGGTCGCGCCAGGCCGCGGCGCTGGAGAGCCGCTCCGCGCTGGCCGAGAGCCGCAGCGCCTCCGGCCAGTCCCGCGCGCAGAGGCTCCGCTCGGCCAGCTGGTTGCAGCACTCCACGCCCAGGCAGGCGAGCTCCTCCGCCCGCGTCCTGCCCCTGCTGGAGGCGCTCGCGCCCGCGCCGCCCTCGTGCTCGTCTGGCCCGAGCGCCCAGGGCGCGGCGTCGGACGTGACCTTCTGTAGTGTCTGGCGGATCCCTCGGCCGATCGCGCCGCCCGATCCGATCTCAGCCCCGATCACAGGGGGCACCGCGCAGACCACGGGTTGAGCACGCCGTCAGGCTCGGACGATCGCACGATCGAGCCGAACCGATATACGCGATCGGCGGCCACGTGATCCTCCGATCGCTGCGATCTGTGATCGCAAACCGCGTGATCAGCAGAGGCTGAGGACGTGACCTGCACCTCCCTGGCGAAGCCGAAGACGCTGAGTATGCTGGCGAGGGCCTTCTCGGTCTTCTTCTCCAAGAGCAGCTGCCCGGCAGAATCCAGGGCCGCCTCGAGGGCGGACACGGACATCCGCGCGCGCGCGGCAGCCTGCCCTGAGGAGAGCAGGGGGAGAAGGGAAGAGCAGGACGAGGAGGGTCAAGAGGGACAAGGGAGGGGCGGGGAGGAGGGGCGATGACGAGGAAGAAACAGAGGCGGGGGCAGCGGCGTTGGAACAGAGGGCAAGAGAAGAGGGATGCAGGGAGGAGCGAGGGGGGAACAGCCGATGTGGGGAGATAATCTTGAGGATGAGGTGGGACGGAAGATGGAAGACGGGAAACATCAGCAAGGGCACTTAACTAGCATGAGGGTGATGGAAGCTGTGGGATGGAAACGGAATCGATGCAGACGCAAATTGAAGAAAATGACGGGGGGATGGGACATGGAGGATGGAATATGGGGGATGGGGAGTAAGGTAGAAGTCTGGGCGCCCAGCTAAGCCCGGATCCCCCAGATATGGTTCTGAGATGGTCGACCGCTGGTGGCTACGAGAGCCCCTGAAGGTCGTCCAGCCAGAGGCTCCCCGCACGAGTGTGGCGCACAAGATGGACACTTCAACATGAAGGACAACTCGTGACAAATGGGGGGAGACACTGGGAGGGGAGGGCACGGCAAAGAGGGGACAAAAACGAGTGGAAGAGAAGCGGAAGAGGAGGATGAGGATTCATCCCCGTGGCGACAAAAACCTCCCGGGGGCCAAGAAGGCCAAGCACGTCCACCAAGAACCTCGAACCGACTTCCCCCCTCCTGCTTCCTCCTCCTCCTTCCTCTTTTTCCGTTTCTTTTGGAGGGGCGAGGGCAGACGAGGGGCCGCGAAGGGGGATGGCGAAGCAGGACCGGCGAGAGGAAGGCGAGCCAGGGGGGCTCTCCTAGACTCCACAGGAAAAGGCCCGAGAACGCAGAGAGATCTCGACCGTCGTACCTCGACCCTCGAGGATCGGAGTGGCGGAGACGGCGGCATTGACGGTGATGGCGACGGCGGCGGCGGCGAGCAGGGCCGGGGGGCAACTGAGGGGGAACGTTCGGGGGGGGACCCGCCCAGGGGGGATAACATCGACCCAGAATCGGCGACACATCGCCGATAGATCAACGATGTGCCCCTGACAGATCCTGACAGCGCATCCGCACGCACCTGGGCGGGGTGGACTATCGGGCCCCAGTCGGCGACGAGTGGGCGATTGGGGGTCGATGCGTTCCCCCCTGAGCCTATCCCCTGTGTGTCGGCTCGTTTGCAGCTCCCGTTTTCCCTGGGAGTCGACTCCCCTGAATTCTGTGAATCGAGGGACACGAGATGTGGGAGTCAAAAGCAGCCGTTGCTTTTAACAGTGGCGCTTGATGCGCCATTGAAGAGCTCCTCCAGAGACCCTTGCGCAGCCTGCAAATCCCCTCAAAGGCCCCTCCAGAAGAACCGCAAGGAGTCTCAGATGGCACTAAAGAAGCCCAGTACGAGGAGCGGAAGGCCTTTCAAACGTCTTTCAAGAGCTCCCAGAAGCCTCTCGAAGTCATCTCACAGAAGCATCTCACGCCAACATCTCTGTAGCCTCCCAAAAGCCTCTCACATTCCGCTCGTACAGAATCTTCTCTGGAGCCTACCAAGAGCCTGTCAGAAACCCTTAGAATGCATTAATCAGCCCATCGATTGCCTTGAACTGTCGGTTTCGGCCACCACCTGATCACCCTCGAAAGACTATCAGGGCCCTTGCAGATACAGTGGCGTTCCTTGAAATCTTCCTCCAGAGCCTCCAACGGCACACCACATGCTCGCTAAAACATCCAAGGCTCGCTGAAGGCGCCCCGACGCCACAAAGAAACCACGCGAGGCACCTAGAGGCCCGCAAGCGCTTCCGGACCTCCCCCTGGAGCAGCGGCGCGCCCCCTGGAACTCGATGGAAGCGCGATGACGGCCTCCGAGCTCGCAAGGCCCCGATATTCGCAGACGCACCTCAGCGTCAGGCGCCCTAGGGCCCGCCAGCGCCCCCTGACCTCGCCCCGAAAGCTTTGCCTTTTTTGATGTTTTGATTTGCGCGCGGGTGATCGTCTGCCGAACACTCCTGCCCGCGGCGCCGAAACGACGAGCGAGGGGCCCGAAGGAAGGGCCGAAAGAAGCGAGGGACGGACCAGGACCCCGACAGAGCCGAGCGAGGGACCGAACCGAAAACAGGGACAACGAACAAATCGAAGGCCCGAGACAAGCGATGCTGGCAAGACCTGGCACTTAAATTTGAAGCCCGTGTCCTGGCTCCTGGGCTTCGAGCCTCAACCTCTGGCCAGGCAGCAGCATACAGACAAGACACGAAGCAGCACGGCAGCGGAGAGCCCTTTATCTCTTCGCGAGCCTGGGCTGGGGGGAGCGAAAAACAGCACAAGAGAGGATGAGTGGGCGCAGGCGGAACGGGTGCCTGCTTCTCAGCGCCTCTGTACCCACTCATCCTCAGGCCTAATCGACGAGCCCTGACGTGTCGGCACAGGGACATTTCGACTGGCAGAGAGATGGCATCAGCTAGAGAGGCATGCAATGATGTCGCCCCACGCGGCAGGCGGAGCAAGAGTCTTTCTCTTCGCTTCCCTTTGCGAGCCTGGGCGGGGGAAAGGCGAAAAAAAACAGCACCAGAGAGGATGAGTGGGCGCAGGCGGAACGGGTGCCTGCTTCTCAGCGCCTCTGTACCCACTCATCCCCAGGCCTAATCGACGAGCCCTGACGCGTCGGCACAGGGACATTTCGACTGGCAGAGAGATTCGTGGCATAACTAGAGAGGCACGCACTGATATCACCCCGCGCGGCAGGCGGAGCAAGAGTCTTTCTCTTTGCGAGCCTGGGCTGGGGGGAGCGAAAAACAGCACACAAGGGGATGAGTGGGCGCAGGCGGAACGGGCGCCTGCTTCTCAGCGCCTCTGTACCCACTTATCCCCAAGCCTAGCCGACTACAGACGTGTCGGCGCATGACATTTGGCACAACCTAGACGTGTCGGCACACCTGGTGTTAGAACCTACACTTCTGGCGGGCTGGTGTCGGGAACCCAGATGGGCCAGCTTATAGAATAGAATAACGTAGGAGTAAAACCGCCCCCCACCTCCGATGTTAACCCCAAGATATCTACGCGGGCTCTAAAAGCCATGCAGGATCAAACAGAGCCTGAACATTAAAGATATCACGAGGGTCCGGAAAGGCATATATAACGTTGACATTGTCAACGGCAGTGACATCGCCGACTGGTTGATCAGTGCGGGGGTCACGTCCATCACACATGCGGCGGAGCCGTGAGATGGTTCCAGAGGCTCGTGGAGGGCCAGTGCAGGATTTCG